CATTCCTGTGATCAACGATCACAAAACCAGGGCTTAATCAGCGGACAAAACCAAATCTGAACACTTTTGTCTAGTTCTCCAATACCCATCAACAAAACAATGTTTCGGTTTTAAGGATGAATTCAGATGTGGAGAAGAGTGGTAAAAGTACCCAGTCAGGAGCTCTGAGAAGACCAATCCCACCGGCGTTAGCAACGGCGGCGACAAGCTCTGGTCCTGAAATGTCTGGTCCCAATGGCGCCTGAACTATTCCATATTCAAAACCCAGAATCCCTCTCCATCCCATCTTCTCTCACTCTCTCTCCGTAACACAAGATAGATCTTTACACGCAGAAACAGAGTTGCTATTCCTCAGAGCCGTGTTACAATTTTCCTTCGCTTTCTCAGCATCCAAACAAAGTTAATCGCAATGGAAAGTGGTCGACAACACGTTGAAGCTTCGTGAGAGGTTCCATTATCTGAAAATAAAATAAAATATACACACGCAACTTCTTCTACAATGTTCGTTGACGCCATACCCGACCAAATCTCGCACATTATTGATAATGATTGGCATTGGTGCTTTCTGTCGTCTTCCCTCGTGGATTCGATTTTTTTAATCAATCAATGCACATATAAGGTATATGGAACCAAAATGATGAGATTGGATAGAACTTTTCCACCCATTTGAGCCCAGAATGTGAAGAGCAAACCCTAGAAACGATAATCTCTGCGCGCGAAATGATCATGCACAAACTATCAGACACGAACCCTAGAATTAAACCTGCCAGAAGTCAAAATATCGCTCAAGATGCTTGCTTTTCCTGTGAAGTAACAGAGTGGATGATCGAGTTAGCGTTCCAACCGCTTAATCTCGGGAGAAGAACACGTTAAAGAATCGGGAAAAAGGAAAATTTGTTTTTTCCTCCCACCCCCACAGGAGAAGGGCTTATTGTAAATTCATTAAACTAGAAGGGCTTTATAGTCATTCTTGTTTACCTCTCGGGCCCTGCCCTTTATCCGTTTGGGCTACATTGAACGAATTTAAAGCCCATAATTGTAAGTACCATTTGGACCGTCTGCTTACGTCAGATTAACCTCATATCATATCTATCAATTTTTTTTTTTACTTTGAAGTATGTTTCAATGCGCCATAATTCAATTGTGATTAATGTCCAAATCACCCCTACGTTCTATTTCCTCATCAAACTTGTATACTAAATCATCTATATCCCAATTCGAATTCAGTTTTCATACAAAAAAAAAATACTTATTTTATAAAAATAATTTTTTATTATTTTTATACTCTGATTAAATTTCGATTATTTTGATTTTCGAAAAACAATTATTTACAGTTAGACAATTTTTTTCATAACGGAGAATCCTATCAGCTATTTTTCAGATGCGTTGAATAGGTAAATTTCTGGCCCGAAAACAGTCTTTGTATATGGACCCAAAAATTACCTATCTCTCCACCAATCAGGAATCGAACACTCAATCTGAAGTTGAAAGTCACTCACAGTTTGATCGCTCGCCCACGACATGTTGGGTTAAACATGCAATGTTTTATATGGATATCATTCAATACGATTTGGGAAATTAGGTTAAAGACCGTATGTCTATGAAAAAAAATGAGAAATACCTCTAACAAAATGATTAATTTAAATTGCTACGAAACAATATATAAAAAATACCTCCAAAATATTACAGGAAATTGAAATTAAAAAATCTCCATGGCACTGCTCTAACTGATAGAACCTAATCCACGTAAGAGAAGAGAGATAATGGAGCAAGTGATTAGACGAGTTGTCTCTGTCCTATGTTATTTATATATATATATATATGACCATACTGCTTAGAGTTCACACGTACTTTCATGTCGACCCTTAGGGTTTTTTGGCAAGACACGGGAAGCTATAGGGACCGGTTTAGGGGTTGGTCGTGTAACCAAATCAACATAAGAGGGCGTGTCGGTCGGTCCACGGCAAGATAAGAACAAAATTTGACAATACCTTGATTAATTAATCCGAATTAATATCTAAACTATCCAGATTAATTGTATAATTCGTTGATATATCAAGTTGTTAAACGACAGGTGGTTACACCATTCTATCATTTCATAACTTTTGCTGACCCGACCCAAAACGTCATGCCACAACCAGCTTTTGACCCCTTTTTTATATATATAAAAAAAATCTGATTATTGGGATTTATGTTTTATATATATATATATATTATGAATATGACAATCGACGTTGGAAGGCTTGCCGATGAATGATATAATAATGCATTTACATCAACAAGGACTGCAATTATGACCCGATTTAATTTATGATTACAATGGCCAAATCTTATCAGCTTTTCTATATTCATATATATCTATTAATGTTCTGTATATGATCATGAACGCTCTCTTATCCCGTTACACATAAACAGAGATAACCATCATATTTACGAATAATTAAAACAGAGAATACAATATAGACATATATAAAAATATTGATAACCATTATTAATAATAATCATCATTATTATCGTCGTCTTCTAGAGTAGTGTTGTTATCACGGCACGTTTTGTACGTCGAGGAAAAAGTTTGACGTGTTTTTCATAGAAAAACATAATTATTGGGCACATAAATCCAAATCGAGTTTCGTATTTCTCATGCTTCATTATTGATTCTTCGTCGCTTTCGCTATAGAGCACGAAGACTATGAACAGTTTGCTTTCAAACCCATTAATACCGAATATATATAATAATTACACATAAAAATGACTTCGAACTGATAAAAATCGAAGAACCTAAATTCAACTGACGAAAACTATATGTTATATTTCGGGTTTGGACCTTTACGTTAGAAAAAAAAAATATTTATATTTTTTTGGAAATCGGGTTTGGAGGGAGAAGTATTGGTTTATGAACACTATTTGGTATCGATATGTTATAATTTTCAGCATGCATGCATGCATCTTACATCCCCTGCCGTGGAACGATGGTTCTTAAATGCAATTAAAGAATTATAATTCTACAATTGTACATTCTAATAAATAATTAAAATTATAGACCTTAAATGTATATATTAGTGATGATGTTGTCGTTACATTAGCAAATACGACTTTTCTATTCCATGAAACGAACCCCGTGAATATATTTTCGTATGGTATATGGATGGCGTGATACATCGTACACTTACTTGTTTATGTATATGTATACATATACGGAAGGTTATATGTACATATCATAAATTTAAGCAACAGGTATTGTCCATATGTAGAATTTTCCTCATTAAATGTTTCCAATAGGAATGGCGTAGGAAGGATATCAAACCAGCCGATTCGGATCAACTAGTTTAGAGCCAATTCATTTTTCACTCTAACTCGTTAAAGTCTATTTTTTTCGGGCCAAAAAATTCAAAACCCGAACCAATTCGTGAGCCAACTCGCGACACAGGAAAAAAATTAAAATAAAAAATATTAAATATAATAAAAAAATATATTATAAAAAAAAGTAAATAATAATAATTATTATATTTTAAAATAATAAAAAATCTTAAAATTTGATAAATCCTTTTTTAAATTATTTAAAAATAATAAAAAAAAATAAAAATAATTTTTTTCTCTGTGTCAGCTCGTGATGAGTTAGCTCATTGGTTCATTTTTTTTCCGAATTCAAAATTTTTCAGCTTAGATCGGAAAAATATAGGCTGACTTGCGAGTTGACTCATGAGCGAACTCATTTTGACATCCCTGTATAGAAATCCCAACGGAATAAGATTGTGAAACCTATTAATTTGTTTTTTTATAAATATCAATAACCTGTATATATAATATAATATGAGTACTTTATAATGCATATACTATATGCGTCATGAAGTTACGTGGGAGCATGCATAGTAACATGTAATATACATACGCGCAGGGGCGGACCTAGGTACAAAGGAGTGGGGGCACGTGCTCCCATAGTCAATTTTTTTTTTTTAAAATTTAAGTTAAAAATTTTACAAATTTTAATACAAAGAGAAGGATGCCCCATTAACTATTGAATGTGGTCTCACTTTCAACTCTCACATTTATTTATTTATTTATTTATTAAATTTGGCTAATTATATTTTTTTTATGAAAAAGTTTCTGGATCCGCCACTATATACGCGTAAGCAATTATATACACAAGACGAATGTATTGATGCTATATTTTACGAACATGATCTCTATATAATTTATCATTCTCAATTAATGACATTTCGTAACAATACTACGACACAACTTAAAACTCTTGATTAATTATTAGAAAATAAATCCACCAAAAAACTTTTTTTCACAAAAAAAAAGGAGAGATTTCCCAACGAGGAGAGAAACACGGAGCAAGAATCCAAGTGGGGGTGGGCGTCTGCATGCCATGCCAATGCCACAAAGTCAAAAGGTGGGTTTTGGATGGGCATGGGCATTCCACGTTGCATGTGTATGATAATATGATGCCATTCCAAAATTAGGCGGTGAATTTTGTTGACTTTCTCAAATACCATATACATATATACATGTATGTATATGGTCCCTATTCACAATTTCATATTCACGCATCCCTACCACGCAATCATGCATGATACATGCATCCATACATAAGCTTCCTCTTTCATTAGTCTTAAAGGACATATATTCAATTATGTATAGTCAATTATTTCATTTTGCTTTGGGACCATCAATCTATAATTCGGTCTTTTCGTTCATTTCGAAATGAAATAAGAAACCCTTAGGTTTGCTTATATATATATATATGAAAGCTATGATAATGCGAGGGTCGTACGTAATTTATAATATTAATTATCGTGTAGATAAACGGATACATCAATGAGGGTGCGACAATTACAACGTGTCACAATTAATGCCAATGAAGCATTGGTTGTTTATGAGAAGAGCCGCCTCTTGATTCTCAAGTTCTCAACCCCACAAACCGCACGCATGCATGAATAGTGACACGTACGTGTTCCATGTTTGATGGAGTAAAATATTTATGGTAATGTGGACATTGATATTTTTTTTTTATCTATGTGATATATATACACATATATTCCTTTTACTTCATCGGTAATTTGACGATGGTGATGAATTTCCCTTTTAAATTTCAAAAATACGATGCAGGGTTAATATATATAGGAAGATAATCTCATTAATATAATTATGATTTATCTTAGATATTATATATAAAATATTTTATTTTATTTTTCTATATATTAGCGTGTAGCGACTTTTTCTTTTGCACTTTCCTATTATGAGGTTTTCAATTGTTATTTCTAAATAAATGGTACACATATAACTAACTATACACACATTTTTTTTTTATATAAACACATACTTATTATATATGAATGAAAAGAAGTATCTCTACATATGATACAATGAATATATTTAGATTTGGTCATTCAATTCCAAGGTAATTATTGAGCGGTTTAAGGCTTTAATTGATGACGTGGCGTGATGGGTGGGTCCACGGAGTATAATCATGTAAACGTACGGGCGCGTGATTTCCACTTTCCACTTTTTTCTAAATCCCCAGATTTTGTCGGCTTGTGTGCCGACTAAGCACCACCTTATCCGCACGTGAGCGCTTGGCCATCTTTTTATATTTTTTAAATAAAAATTAAAATTTTCCATTCGTAGCCAGATTTATTTGTTACCAAAACCTTTTCTTTTTAAATTGTTCCCATCTCACATAACGAAAATAAATAAAATTATATTATAATCTACGTCGATGATATATTCTAATAAATAGTATTTTATTTGATAAAAACAAAATTCCACACAAGCGAACTTTGGAAGAGTTAAACCATATATGAATTATCATATATTTCTCATTATGTTGTGAGCTAACACACATGAACATTTAGTAAAGACTACTATAATATGCGATATATAATATATAATTTTCGTAGTCACATAATGTAGTTAAATATAAAATGGTTTCACAAAACGACAAGAAAAAATTCTGGATATCGTCGTATCTATATATGTAAATATATATACTTAAAGAAACTATGTAATTAGATTCATATACAACGGTCGAATAAATCGAGATGGGTGGAGCTTGAGGTGCTGATCCTCGTGAAAAACTTTTTGGTTACTTTTGTTATAATTAAAACTTTTTCGTGATTATCTCTGTTTAGTCTTCACTTATCCATTTTTTTAATCTCATAGAGGAATTTGATCACTTTTTCCAATTAAGCCCGATTACGACAGTTAGTTGCGAAATATACATTAATTTTAATTTATAGCGCATATATATATATATATATATATATGTATATGCATGCAGTAAAAAAATTCAAAGGCAAAAATATAAACTAATAATGAAATTTCAGGGAATTATAAGGGTATTAGTGCAATTATCATATTTTATCATTATTTTTATTTAAACATGGAAATAAGTGATTCAGAATAATCATTATTTTAAAATATTTCTAATATCATTTATTGGTAACTCGAGTCGTTTATAAATTATAAACATAATAATAGTTGGTTCAAACAAAATATTGCTAAAAACATACTTTTAAGTTACTTTGTTATCATTGTTACTCATAAATTTATTTGTAATTTAATATGATAAGACGTTATTTTTCGTTTTTTCTTGTAGTCATGCGTTCGATATTTCGTAAATGCGATTTTTTTTTCCTGTCGGAACCTCACACGTGTCGAAACATGGGAGCAGACCTAAATGGATTACCAGGGATCCTATTACAGAGGAGTAATGCCGAGAGGTGACGTGAATATAAAGACTTAGATGGGCCCCACAGTAGGCCCACTTCTTAAAGTATAAGTGGCATTGGGAGTCCCGCTTTGGATTATAATTATAAAATCAAAAGGCTATAATTTCGTTCCCACGATTTAATATTAATCCGAATATTAGTAATAAGACGAATATTCTCTCTCCTCCTAATAAAAAGGTTAAAGATAAATACGCAGTACAATAAGAGATTTTTTTGTTACATATTTGAATATTGGACGTACACCGTAAAGTTACAAATTAAAGGAAATATGTTAGGGATATATGATTGAGACCATAACATGTAAGAGAAAGAGGGTACGGTCCAAAAGCTCACTATTTTGTTTTTTGGGATTTGGCTACCCTCCTTTTATTTTGGAACATTTACATCAACGACAAAATAAATATAACTCGATAATTTAACACGCGCGCACTCGCACACACACATATATATATATGTATACTGTATTTTTACTAGACCAGTTCGATTATTTATACAAAAACCACGTATAAAACCGGGTATGAGCGTAATTAATGTAAAAACCGGGATGTGATTTAGAATAAAATAAAATAAAAAGGAAAAGAGAAAGAAATTTCAGCGGACCCCACAGAGTAAGAAGGCAATAATGGAGATTGGGATGTGGTTCGTACGCTGCAGCAGGCAGGCACAGGCATACCTCACCCAGCTACAGACTGCAACCTGCACCACCACTTCTCCGTATATTTCTCTACGTACGCATGTATGTATACATCTGCACCTTTAAAACACCGTATATTTAAATAATATTTTCTGTGGGGTCCACGCGGTAGGTCCCCGAAAGTAAAGCAGTCATCACACGGTATCAGGTCCTTCGCTTTCTCAAAATCAGTGGCTTCTTTTGAAAACCGGGTCCCGCTCTTGTATTTTAGAATATATACACACACATATATATATATATCTGTTTCGTGGGAGCCTACAAGAGATTTCAAAATTTTATTGGCTTACATTAAAATTAATTAAATATAGCCCTTGTAAATATTGCGGAGACTACCACGTCACTCCAGAAGAACCTTACAGGCTGTCAACACCCCTCCTCACCCAATGAAATTACTCCACGTGGCAGTAGTTGACATGGACACCTTCCCTTCTACAGCTGTGGCCCTCTTCCTCCGATTCAAACTCCTTGTATAAAAGCCCTGTTTCAGTTCTTCCTCATGCATCCATATCCATATCCATATTCATAATCTCTCTCTCTCTACAAGTTACGACTGTTGTCTTCTTGATCCTCTCTCATTAATGGCTTCTATTAACCGTTTTGCCATCCTCCTCGCTCTCTTCGCCGTCACCGTTGATCTCTCCGCCGCCGCGTTGGTGGAGGAGCAGCCTCTGGTGCTCAAATACCACAACGGCGTTCTTCTGAAGGGTAACGTTACCGTAAATCTCATATGGTACGGCAAGTTCACCCCGATCCAACGGTCCATAATCGTCGATTTCATCCGCTCGCTCAACCACCCCGCCGCAGTACCTGCCCCCTCCGTCGCGGCGTGGTGGAAAACGACGGAGAAATACAAAGGCGGCGCGTCGACTCTACTCGTCGGGAAACAGCTCCTCCTTGAAAACTACCCTCTCGGAAAATCGCTCAAGAGCCCCCACCTGAGAGCCCTCTCCACCAAGCTTAACGGCGCCGTGAGGTCCATCACCGTCGTTTTGACGGCGAAGGACGTCGCGGTGGAGGGATTCTGTATGAGCCGGTGCGGGACCCACGGTTCCACCGGCACGTCGGCGCGTCGTGCGGCTGGTTCAGCCCACGGCGGCGCGTTCGCGTGGGTTGGAAACTCTGAAACCCAGTGCCCGGGGTACTGCGCGTGGCCGTTCCACCAGCCGATGTACGGGCCACAGACGCCACCGTTAGTGGCGCCTAACGGCGACGTCGGAGTTGACGGGATGATCATAAACCTCGCGACGCTTCTGGCGAACACCGTCACGAATCCGTTTAACAACGGTTACTTCCAGGGCCCACCAACGGCGCCATTAGAGGCCGTCTCGGCGTGCACGGGAATATTCGGGTCGGGTGCATACCCGGGTTATCCAGGTCAGGTGCTCGTGGATAAGGCGACCGGGGCGAGCTACAACGCGCACGGGCTCGCCGGGAGGAAATATCTCCTGCCGGCGATGTGGGATCCGCAGACCTCCACATGTAAGCCTCTCGTATGATGTGCCATCGGGAGATGGACACGTGTCAAGAATCTACGGAGTTACGGCGCGGCGCGCGTGGCCTTCCGTGTAGATATATCTGGGCTTTGACGGGTCGGGTCCTGGTGGGGTTTCGGGTTTGTTTTGTCGCAGTGTATGACGTGTAAATTCCTTAGTCGGAAATTGTGAAATAAAATGCATATATATGTAATAAAAATGAATTTAATATTGCAGGCCATGGATTAGCTCCGAAATGCTCCACGTGTTCTCTACTACCATAACGAGATTGTTTAATAGCCTAATCAAATATCTTATCTCGTCTATTTAATGATGGTGATGAAACTATTTCAAAGCCTTTGAATTATGGAAATATTAAAATAATATAGAGTAATAAATATTGCCTTTAAATTAAAATAAAGATAAATACAAGCTTATCATTATTAAAAGGGGGCACTTGTCAACTTAGAGATGATGTTGGGGACCAAGGAGACCATCTCAATAATAAAAACCAAAACCATGGGGATTAATATAATATAAGTTTATTATTTTAACTAATCCAATTTTCTTTTGCTTACATTTATCCTATTAATTCTTAAAAATCATAAGTGGGTGGGTGGCTTTTCATTTATTTCACAGAAATAAATCGGTCATTAAATACGTTTAGAGATTTAGTAAAGTTTTTTTTTTATCTTACGCTACAGAAGAAATAACTTTCAATCTAAATTACTCAATGCAATATAAACTTTTCTTTCCATTTTTTTGTTTCTTATATTTATAAAAAATACATAACACTAAAATTAAACAAACTTTCTATATTTTCCAAATTCAATTCTTTCGTTTTATGTTTTCTTGAAACACAAACATTTGTAACTCAAGATTTAAAATATGCTTAAAAATAAAGATTTTTTCAGCGAATTTTGATATGGGTAACATATATTTATAATCATATATATAAATTATATACGTTTTAGTGCCCTCACACTTTCGGCTGTGACAATAAATAGATTAAGGACACAAAGATATCAGCCATAATGGAAATCTATAGGAAGCTTGCATTGAAATAAAGCAGCTTTATATATGTACGCATGATATTTATACATATATATATATATATATATATATATAAATAGTTGCAAATGATTGTTGTCGTGTCTTATTTATTAAAGACTGCATTTAAATATGCGAAGAAAATGATGTAGAATTTCTAATATAAATGTGTTAATACTTTCTTGTATCATTGTGAAAATATTATATATAGATAGTAATGTATTCTTTGATATTAGAATCATTAAATTGAGTTTTTAAGCACGAATTTAAAATTGATTTAAATCACCTAAAAAGAGGAGAAAATGCAATTTGCAACATTCATTTCACACGGACAGTGAAGGAAAAAAAAATGTGTTACAGATTATTGAGCCGGCAAATATGGTTTTCCCCATACCGAGGCACAAGCACTATTGGCCGACCATTTTGTTAGGTATTTATCATATATCTCACAAATATTTGTATGCAAAATTGAACATTTTTTTTTAATGTATAGTGACTATGAACAGAGAATCTTAGCCTTGGGAATATTGCTTTTTAGTCGGTTTTCTTTTAGTTATTTTTTGGTTAGAAAATTTATATATATTTGTATGTACAAAGAATTATAGTTGTATTTGATTTGATACAAAATTTTAATAAATAATTTGTTTTTAAAATAATTTATTTTGAGATTTACATTTTCAGTTAAATCTAGATCTCATTCGGTGATATAATTATATATTATTTAGTTTGTTTGTTTTTTTCATTTTATATATCTAAAATGAAAGCTTATTGTTCTATTATTGAATTCTAATGAATATTAACGAATTCTGTTGAACAATTTGTTTTTCCGTGCTGATTTATTAAACCCTTTATTTTCTTAAATATATTTAGCTTGGAATCCTCACAACAAATAACTCTTTTATGTAATATATATATATATATATATATATATATATATATATGTACAGAACTGAAATAATTGAATAGGCTTTAAGAGGATCAGTGTCCCCTATATACAAAAATTACTATATTTCCAAACGAAGCTATATATATATATATATATATATCTGTGTGTGTACACTTGTACATAACTGAAATAATTGAATAGGATTTAAGAGGATCAGACCCCTATATACAAAAATTACTTTATTTCCAAACGAAGCTAACTTTATTTGTGTATCTAATCTAACAAAAAAATCAGATAAAACAAATATGAATATTCAGAAATAGGGGCAACAGATGTAGGTATTTCGGTATTCGGTTCGTAAATAAATCGGTTCAATTTTTTCGGTTTTATAAAAATATATATCAATAGGTTATTATATCATATTCGGGTCGATTCGGTTCGATTTCAATTTTGAGTTTTATTAAAAAATTTATATTCTTAAAAAAAATTTGGTTTTCAGAGGTTTTAAAATTCAGTTTTAGAAAATTCAGTTTTTTAAAAATAATATCGTAATAGAATTTTGAAAAATTCGATTGGATAAAAATACCATATTTTTCGATTTCATATCGAAATGTTTATCCCTGTTCAGAAATGTCAATCCTTCCGTTGATGGGGTAGAAATCAAAATTCAATAGTTGTAAGCTTTTTCTGTAAAGTATAGACAAATTGTGGGTCTTATGCACAATTATTTTCAAGATAGCAACTGAGCTTGAAACAGATAGGACGCCTCGCCTCCTGTCCGGACAAGGATATCTCCACTGTGAACTCCAATTCCGTCGCTGATGATTCCCCATTTGCTGGGTTCGTGTTAGAACGGTAAATCTCCAAACTTTATCTTTATCTTCTTCCAACTCACTTCAATTCTCGTTATTGTAACGCCAATCTCGAGCTCTCTGCTGCTGTAAACGGGAAAGGTAGAGGAAATTTCTGGGCTTTTCCAATGAATCTCATCCGTAAAGGATCAAGCTTTTGCAGATTAGCTTCTGTTTACACGTAACTAGGGTTTGGTCTGGTTTTAGGGTTTCTTGTAGTAGCCAACGTTTTGGACTTAGAACTTAGATTTCGTGTTCTCCTGTATATTTATACTCGGCTCGCGCTCTTGCCGCTATTCACTGAACTGCTTCTTGCTTGTTTACAGAGAAGAAGAAAGATGGGTTTGGTTTCGTTCTGTGACATAAGTTCTGGGTTTTTCCTAAAGAAACCGAGTTTCACAAGGTAGGTTTCGAAAGAATCTGCATTTCTGCATCTTTTTGTTTGTTTGATAGTATTGATTCATGCTCTCTTTCTGAGAAGATTCAATCATTCACACCACTTGGCCTCTCCAGATGTTATCAGGGAGCTCCATTCACAAACTCTTACTCAAGATCATCACCATTCTATATGACTGCACGAGAAAAAATGAACGTGGCTAATGTAAAATTCTTGAACATCGACGAAAGACGACGTCAAGGTCGACCCATTGTTTTTAGAAGCCGTGGAAACACAGTGGAAATGTGTGGAGATGACAAAGAAGAGGATGTTTCTAAAGCAACTTTGATATGGAGGGCAGTTAAACTACCTATTTACTTTGTTGCTTTGGTTCCTCTCACTGTAAGTTTCTTTCTTAACAGAGACCCTCTTGAAATCTCCAGAGCCGCCTCGGGTCTGTTCTTGACATTTTCCTTTCCGGTTCATGTGGTCAGGTCGGTGGTGCGGCCGCCTATTTGGAGACAGGATCGTTTTCAGCGGGTCGTTATCTTACCCTGTTGGTCTCCTCAGTTCTTACCATTACCTGGCTCAACCTTAGGTTTGTACAAGAACGAGGTTTCTTGAAATGGTCGTGAAAACGTTTCCTGTAATGAAATATTTTCCGACATGGTTTATGGCAGCAACGATGTTTATGATTTCGATACAGGAGCAGATAAGAACAAAAAGGAATCTGTAGTAAACCTGGTCGGAAGGTAAGTATGGATGTCGGTTCGCAGCTTTGCTGGTCTTGATTTCTGAGTGAGTGAATGCCTAACCAAATCTGATCCATGGGTTCATTACTTTGCTAAATAAGCCGGACAGGAACCCTAATTGCAGCGTTCATATTGCTCGTTCTTGGTGGTGCTGGTTTATCTTGGATATCCATGGAAGCAAGAAATATTCGTGCAATAATGTTGCTTGCTTCTGCAATATTCTGTGGCTATATATACCAGGTGAATGTAATTCAAACTCTCTGATTCTTGAAACTTGATATATTACAATTTGGAATGCCAAGAACTACATCTGTTTTTTTTTTCCACAAAAGAAAGGATTACACTTTCCATATAAAAAATTCTGACTTGTGTTAAAACTCTGAAAATTTTTCAGTGCCCACCATTCCGGCTAAGTTACCATGGACTAGGAGAGCCACTATGCTTTGCTGCTTTCGGCCCATTCGCGACTACTGCTTTCTATTTACTTCTGGCTAGCTCGAGGTTTGTGCCAAAGCATTCTTCGATCACATTCCCTTTTTTCCTGCGTTGTTCTTTCCCAGTGTCGGTTGAACATGATTTTACTGAAACCTTTGTATTGGTTTTCGCAGTCAGACAAGCCATGTTCCTCTAAACGGCAGGATCCTTTCTGCATCTTTCCTTGTCGGCTTCACCACATCTTTGATCCTTTTATGCAGCCACTTTCATCAGGTTAGCTAAAAACTTTGAATCCCACGAAAAGAGAGAGAGATTGAGAGAGCCAATAACCATATGCTGATATCATGATTCATGAACACTATATTCTACAGGTGGAAAGTGACTTGGCAGTGGGAAAATTATCACCTCTGGTACGGACATCTTACTTCCAGCTTGAACCATGACAGTAGAACACATTGCAGTGTTTCTTGTTTCAAAGGGTTCCGTCTGTGTTGTACAGGTTAGGGTAGGCACTGAAAGAGGAGCAAAAGTAGTGAAATCGGTCGTTGTTTCGCTCTATTCCCTGCTGCTTGTTCTTGGCCTTACCAGAATTCTTCCCCTCACTTGCACAGTTAAGTTTCCTGCATCCATAATATGATCAAAAGCATCAGAAACAAATCTCACTGGTTTTGGTGTGTAACATACTAAGTTAGTATGTTACTAACATGCGGTTTGGTGTTTTCAGTTGATGTGTTTCCTGACACTACCAATGGGGATATTGGTTACAAGCTATGTTGAAAAGAACCACAAGGTAATAAATAGCCTCTGCTTCCAAAAAATTATTCTTTAAACAAGAGATTTCAGACAATATTTGTCTGAAAATGGAGATATTATTCCTGGGGAATGGTGTAGGACAAGGGGAAGATATTCATGGCGAAGTACTACTGCGTGAGACTGCACGCGCTGTTTGGAGCAGCTTTGTCCATTGGACTCGTGGCTGCAAGGCCAATCAACAGAGTCTATGTTCCTGATGTGGTGATTTCTTGGCCTTGACATTAGATCAATTCACCTTCTTCTTTTTCTATCAGCAACTGCCATTGTAATAAAACCATTCTTCGAGTATTGACTGTAAACTTTCATAGTTGAGGGATCATGATGTAAAAACGGAGGAAGACAAGGCATATACGTACTTCAAATCTGTCTCCTACGGTACTTTTGTTTTGGCATGACTCAAACATGAGCAGAACAGTGAGGCATATCAAAGCAGCTACTAAAAGGATTGAAATGCCATGCAAAGTGTTCTTTCATCATCGGTGGAATATCATGCAACTCAACTCCACAAGGATCGACTCTTTTTCTAGTGGAGAGATAAAACTAGAGAGACCCATAAATGAATTCCGAAAGAATGAGATAAAGCTTATAGTTTGCATCATCATCAATCTCGTGTTTCTCTGATACCGAAAGCGAGAAGCAACACAAAAAGGAAATTTTCAGATAGGAAAAGGAGGAGACACTCACAGCTTGGCGTGATCATCAATCTCAAGTTTCTTCCGACAGCCGGTGGTCGGATTCGCTATGTTGAACTGCAAATTTTAACAGAAACCATCAAATTCTCCAGAAAAATAGGAAATTGGATCAGGAATCTGATACAGAATCGCAGCTTACGCACCTTCTTGATTCTGGTTTAGCCCCTCCGCCTGCTCCAACCGTCGAGTTACCAGAAATTAGGGCTCCGTCCAATTCGGGCTATTTACAGGTAAGCGAGACGGCGAGGGCTGGGCTTCTTTATTGGGTTTAATTTGGGTCAAACCCGATTCGAGAAAATTGTCATTTAGCCCAAATTTAAAGGCCCCTAAATTCGGGTAAAAACCCGAACCGGAACCAGATCCGACTCGCCCTGTCGGTTGTCTCTCCATTTTATATTTTTTATGGCTGTGTTAGAGCAGTGTTATCTTCCAAAACCCTAAATCCTTTTCTCCATCGGATTCTTCTTACAGACCAGTTTCGATTACCTTTCAAAGGTAAGTTCGTCGTGTTTTCTCTTTGGAGAATTTATTGGTTTCTCCGATGTTGTGTTTTTTCCCCTGAATTCATTTGTGCGGTTTTCCAATTTGATAGTTTTCTAATCGCTTTCATTTCGAATTTCTAAGATTGTTGTTCGTAGAAGCTTCGATAGCTATCGAACATGGCGTCTGTAGATCCGGAGATCACCAAAACGCAAGAGGAGAGGCGGAAGATGGAGCAGGAGCTCGCGTCCCTCACTTCGCTAACTTTCGATCGCGATCTGTACGGAGGCACTGACCGTGATGCCTACGTGACTTCAATCCCCGTGGTCGACGAGGAAGATGCGAATCCGGACCCTGCCGGGTCGGAAGTGGCGCGGCGGCTTGCGTCTTACACTGCTCCGAAGTCGCTTCTCAATGATGTGGCCCGTAGTCAGGGCGAAGATGACGATGGAGGGTTTAAAGCAAGGAAGAGTATTGCAGACAGAGAGGATGACTATAGGAGGAAGAGACTCAATCGGGTTTTGTCTCCGGACAGAAATGATCCGTTTGCGATGGGAGAGAAGACGCCGGATCCAAGTATTAGAACTTACGCGGATCACATGAAGGAAACAGCATTGCAGAAAGAGAGGGAGGAGACTATGAGGCTTATTGCTAAGAAAAAGAAAGAGGAAGAAGAAGCCGCGGAAAAGGGACAGAAAGAATCTGCTCCTGCTGCTGCTCAGCCGAAGAGGAGGAACCGATGGGATCAGTCGGAAGATGATGGTGGTGCCGCAGCTGTGAAGAAGGCTAAGTCAACTTCGGATTGGGACTTACCGGATGCGGCTCCAGGGATCGGGCGGTGGGATGCAACACCGACTCCAGGGAGAGTTTCTGATGCCACCCCATCTGCTGGGCGTAGGAATAGATGGGACGAGACGCCGACTCCTGGTCGTGTGACAGACTCTGACGCCACACCAGCTGGTGGGGTTACTCCCGGTGCGACGCCTGCAGGAGTTACTTGGGATGCGACTCCAAAAGGACTTGCTACTCCTACCCCGAAACGGCAACGTTCTAGGTGGGATGAGACACCAGCCACTATGGGCAGTGCTACACCCATGGCTGGAGCTACTCCAGCCGCTTACACTCCTGGTGTCACCCCTATCGGTGGGGGTGATCTGGCTACCCCCACACCAGGCCAGATTAATCTTCTAGTCAGGGCGAAGATGACGATGGAGGGTTTAAAGCAAGGAAGAGTATTGCAGACAGAGAGGATGACTATAGGAGGAAGAGACTCAATCGGGTTTTGTCTCCGGACAGAAATGATCCGTTTGCGATGGGAGAGAAGACGCCGGATCCAAGTATTAGAACTTACGCGGATCACATGAAGGAAACAGCATTGCAGAAAGAGAGGGAGGAGACTATGAGGCTTATTGCTAAGAAAAAGAAAGAGGAAGAAGAAGCCGCGGAAAAGGGACAGAAAGAATCTGCTCCTGCTGCTGCTCAGCCGAAGAGGAGGAACCGATGGGATCAGTCGGAAGATGATGGTGGTGCCGCAGCTGTGAAGAAGGCTAAGTCAACTTCGGATTGGGACTTACCGGATGCGGCTCCAGGGATCGGGCGGTGGGATGCAACACCGACTCCAGGGAGAGTTTCTGATGCCACCCCATCTGCTGGGCGTAGGAATAGATGGGACGAGACGCCGACTCCTGGTCGTGTGACAGACTCTGACGCCACACCAGCTGGTGGGGTTACTCCCGGTGCGACGCCTGCAGGAGTTACTTGGGATGCGACTCCAAAAGGACTTGCTACTCCTACCCCGAAACGGCAACGTTCTAGGTGGGATGAGACACCAGCCACTATGGGCAGTGCTACACCCATGGCTGGAGCTACTCCAGCCGCTTACACTCCTGGTGTCACCCCTATCGGTGGGGTTGATCTGGCTACCCCTACACCAGGCCAGATTAATCTTCGTGGCGCTCTCACGCCTGAACAGTACAATCTGTTGAGGTGGGAGAGGGATATCGAGGAGAGAAACAGGCCTTTGACTGATGAAGAGCTTGATGCTATGTTTCCTCAAGAGGGTTACAAGGTTCTTGAGCCACCTGCTTCATATGTTCCCATCCGAACCCCTGCGAGAAAACTTCTCGCAACACCAACACCCATGGCGACTCCTGGATACATTATTCCTGAAGAAAATCGTGGGCAGCAGTATGATGTGCCCAAGGAAGTTCCTGGCGGGTTGCCATTTATGAAACCTGAGGATTATCAGTATTTTGGAGCGTTATTGAATGAGGATGATGAAGAGGAGCTGTCCCCCGAGGAGCAGAAAGAGCGCAAGATAATGAAACTGTTGTTGAAGGTTAAAAATGGAACGCCTCCCCAGAGGAAAACGGCCCTGAGGCAGCTTACTGACAAGGCTCGTGAATTGGGCGCTGGTCCTTTGTTTAATAAGATTTTGCCTTTGCTCATGCAACCCACTTTGGAAGATCAAGAGAGGCATCTGTTGGTCAAAGTGATTGATAGGATTCTGTATAAATTGGATGAGTTGGTAAGGCCTTTTGTCCACAAAATTCTTGTTGTCATCGAGCCTTTGTTGATTGATGAAGATTATTATGCACGTGTGGAAGGAAGAGAGATTATTTCTAACCTTAGCAAGGCTGCTGGTTTAGCTACCATGATTGCTGCTATGCGTCCTGATATTGACAACATTGATGAATATGTGAGGAACACAACCGCTAGAGCTTTCAGTGTCGTAGCTTCAGCACTTGGAATTCCTGCACTTTTGCCCTTCTTGAAAGCTGTGTGTCAGAGCAAGAAGTCATGGCAGGCACGTCATACTGGGATTAAGATTGTTCAGCAGATTGCTATCTTGATTGGTTGTGCTGTTCTACCTCATCTAAGGTCTCTAGTCGAAATTATTGAACACGGGCTCAATGATGAAAATCAGAAGGTGAGGACTATTACTGCTTTGTCTCTTGCTGCCCTTGCCGAGGCATCTGCGCCATATGGTATCGAGAGCTTTGACTCTGTCCTGAAGCCTCTGTGGAAAGGTATCAGATCACACCGCGGTAAGGTATTGGCTGCTTTCTTGAAGGCAATTGGTTTCATCATCCCATTGATGGATGCTATATATGCTAGCTACTATACAAAAGAAGTGATGGTTATTCTGATCCGGGAGTTCCAGTCTCCTGACGAGGAGATGAAGAAGATTGTCCTCAAGGTGGTGAAGCAGTGTGTGAGTACAGAGGGTGTCGAAGCTGATTATATTCGCAGCGATATTCTCCCCGAGTTCTTCAGGCACTTCTGGGTAAGGAGAATGGCGCTGGACAGGAGAAACTATAAACAGCTCGTTGAAACTACCGTAGAGATTGCAAACAAGGTTGGGGTCGCTGATATCGTAGGGAGAGTTGTCGAAGATCTTAAAGACGAGAGTGAGCCCTACAGACGTATGGTTATGGAGACAATCGATAAGGTTGTCACGAACCTGGGGGCATCTGATATCGACGCTAGATTGGAGGAATTGCTCATCGACGGAATTCTTTACGCTTTCCAAGAGCAGACCAGTGACGATGCTAATGTGATGCTTAACGGGTTTGGTGCAGTTGTGAATGCTCTAGGACAGCGAGTGAAGCCATACCTTCCACAGATTTGTGGTACCATCAAGTGGCGATTGAACAACAAGAGCGCAAAGGTAAGACAGCAGGCTGCCGATCTTATTTCTAGAATAGCGGTTGTAATGAAGCAATGTGGAGAGGAACAGCTGATGGGCCATCTCGGTGTTGTCCTGTACGAATATCTCGGAGAAGAGTACCCGGAAGTCTTGGGATCGATTCTTGGAGCCCTCAAATCTATCGTTAACGTGATTGGTATGACGAAGATGACTCCTCCCATTAAGGACTTGCTTCCGAGATTGACCCCGATCTTGAAGAACAGGCACGAGAAGGTGCAAGAGAACTGTATCGATCTCGTTGGTAGGATCGCCGATCGTGGTGCCGAGTTTGTTCCGGCCAGGGAGTGGATGAGAATCTGTTTTGAGCTTCTTGAAATGCTCAAGGCCCACAAGAAGGGAATCCGTCGTGCCACTGTCAATACCTTTGGATACATTGCCAAAGCCATTGGACCACAAGATGTATTGGCAACGCTGTTGAACAATCTCAAAGTCCAAGAACGTCAGAACCGTGTCTGTACAACCGTGGCAATCGCCATCGTGGCGGAAACATGTTCTCCCTTCACAGTCCTACCGGCACTGATGAACGAGTACCGTGTCCCCGAGCTTAATGTCCAGAATGGCGTCCTGAAGTCACTCTCCTTCCTGTTTGAGTACATTGGCGAGATGGGCAAAGACTACATATATGCAGTGACGCCATTGCTGGAGGACGCGCTCATGGACAGAGACCTGGTTCACAGGCAGACGGCAGCATCGGCCGTGAAGCACATGGCGTTGGGCGTGGCTGGTCTGGGATGTGAAGACGCATTGGTCCATTTACTGAACTATGTATGGCCCAACATATTTGAGACGTCGCCTCACGTGATAAACGCAGTGATGGAGGCCATAGAAGGGATGAGAGTGGCATTGGGCTCGGCCGTCGTGCTTAACTATTGCCTGCAGGGGCTGTTCCATCCGGCTCGGAAGGTCAGGGAAGTGTACTGGAAGATCTACAACTCGCTTTATATCGGCGGTCAGGATGCGCTGGTGGCGGCCTACCCGATTCTCGAGGACGAGCAGAACAATGTCTACAGTCGACCCGAGCTTATGATGTTCATCTAACACATGTCCGATTCACTTTTGTCCTGTCTTGTCTACGGTGTCTAGTTTGTAGTTTTGTGCAAAACTCTCCGAGGAAAAACAGCATTATCCTATGTATTGTGTTGTCTGGTGAATGTGGCTGAAAATGGTTACAGGAAATTGCAATGTACATACAACCAAAATACGAACAGACAATCAAATCAAACGACAACCTTAATAAAGACCCAAGAATTTCCACCAGAAGGATCCGACAACTCCCCAGATGACGGCTTGAACAAGACCCATTATGAACCCCACTCTGAACATATCTCTCAGATCAATGTACCCAGCTGCAGCATCAAACCAAAGTCCAGATGAAATAACACAAACACAAGCATTGTGAAAAGAACAAGAATGAGCATACAGATACAGATACATACCTCCATAGTACAGAGCGGCTGGGCCGCTGCTGTAATGGGTCAAGGCGCCGAAGAGATTGTTGTTGAAGGCCAAGCAAAGGGCGGCTAGAACTGTTGGAACCCCGGCCGCTAGCTGCATGGCGAGAAAAGCAGGGTAGAGAGCTCCGGCATGGCCGGTTTGGCTGGCGAACAGGTAGTGGAGGAAGAAATAAGAGCCCTGGAGAATTGCAAAGGATGCCGGCCAGCTCAGCGTCAGAGATTGGAGCATTTTGGCTACACAGTCCGACATCCATGCCACAACGCCAAGGTTCGTCAGCTGTCCTGCCATCCCCACCAAGACAGCGAACCAAGTGAGCGAGTCCCATGCCGTTTTGTCGCTTAGGCAGTCATCCCAATTGACTACGCCCATCAGTAGAAGCGTGCATAGCCCTACCATGGCAGCTACCACGCTCGGTATTCCCACCGCCTCACTGCATACAACAGTCACCATATCCTTCAATGCTCAGCGAGAAAACAGCTCACAGAATTGGTAAAGGATTTCCGTTTCTCACCCGAAGACCCAGAGAGATACAGTAAGAACCATGGAACCGAGCATGGTCCACTCATTTCTCGTGATAGGACCCAACTGTTGCAGCTTTCTTGCGGCGACGATGGGGGCATCTGGTGTATGTTTCATCTCGGGAGGATATAGCTTATATACGATCAGTGGGGTACAAAGAAGAGATACGAATGCAGGGAGACTCGCAATCTTAAACCAAGAAACCCATGGATTTGCAAACACGACACCGAGCTCCCTTGCTAATTTGAGGCAGAGCAAGTTCTGTGCTGCCGAAGTCAGGAGAAGTGCTCCACTGCTTCCGGCACACTGCCACAGATCAAACAAGAACATGTTTAAAAGTCTAGTTCATCGAGATGCTAGAGCATCTACATATAAACCCCAACTCTATATGAAATCGCTGAAGCAATCTATGAGCTCATTCTGAGTGCAGCATATGTTAAGAGAGAGATCAAAGGATTGCAAGCTACAACCAAGAATCGGAACCGAACTAGTTCAAGAGCTGTTCCTAACTCCATGTCTGGACGTGAAACATGACTCAATCAATGGCATAATCACGTGAAATCGTGTAGAATCTTCCATATTGTTTGATCCTATACTCAGATATATCGGGAAAGTCCTATGAACCTGCAACTGAGATTGCAGAAGGAAAGCACCCAACTTTCTCGACGAGGGGTCCCCAGGCATGCTTCCGGCGGAGAGCGAGAGGGACTTGATCACCGGCAAGAAAACGCCGCCAGCTCTGGCCGTCGTCGCCGGCATTATCAGACCCATCAAGGCCTCACAAAACGTGAGCCCGTACGAAAGACCCAATGTGCTTTTCCCCAACCACTTGACGAAGTACGTCGCGATTCTGTCGCCGAGCCCTGTCTTGATGAACCCACGAGCGAAGAAGAAGGAAATGGCGATCAGCCAGATGAGCTCGTTCGTGAAGGCGCCGAAGGCGGTGGCGAAGGGCAGAGTCCTGGTCACGACGGAGACCGTGAGTCCGATGAAAGCCCATGCCCCGACCGGTAGAGGACCCAGCACGAGACCCGCGACGGTGAACAGAAAAACCGAGAGCAATTGCCACGCTTGTGACGTCACCTGAGCGGGTCTAGGGATCAGGAACCGAACGGAGAGACCGATCAAGACGGAGAAGAGGAGAGGGAGGAGCTTGGCCCCTTGCGGCGATACCAACGACGTATCCGGCGGTTTCCCGGCATCATTTCGCGGCGAAGCGGGGGCGGAGGAGGATGCGCGGGTAGTGAAGCGGATACGCTTGACGAGAGGGGAGCAGAAGGAGAGTGATCGTACGGAAGGTGAAGAGTAACGGTGGGAGGGTACGGCGATTGACGGCGGGAGAAGCGGTGAGGGTTTGACGGAAAGGCGGCGGAGAGAGAGGCGAGAGGCGGCGGAGAGGGGACGGAGAGCCAAACCCTCCATCGCCGGAGAGAAGGTGAGAATTCTCCGATCAGAGTGAGTGAGGTGGTTGTCTCTCCCGAGATGAGTTAGGACACTGGAGGGAAGAATTCGATACTCTCAACCCTTTCGTCCGCTGAATCTCCGCCATAGATACTACATGATACTACATGATGATGATGATGATGATGATGATGATGATTGTGGCTACAACTCAACTTATGCATGCTAATCCGTGAATCGATCTTGGATTCTCTGATCGTCAAGTTTAGATTCTTCATTAACAACTCTCCCCTACATTTTCAGACACTTTCCGCTTTGGACCCCCACATTTTTTCACGGCGAAATTTACACCCCAGCCGTCGCGTCAGTCGTTTGGACGGGACGATTATTATAACTACAACTTAGAACTGTTGTCTCTACCGGGAAAAAAAAAAGTTTTATTTTTTTCATATTTCGAACAAATTCGGACAGATCTCTCGTCTGCTTCAACTCTGTATCTACGCGACAAAGAATGTCCGATCTCTATCGCCAAACCCAGAAGACCAGAAATGATCAACAATGGAGAGACAGAGGCAAATGTCTTGTCAGTTCCTTCTCAAGATTTCTGGTATATAAAATCTTGGATGACTTACCGTTTCTTAATCACAGAGTTTAAGATTCTCAGTATAGACCCAAAAATTTCCACCAGAACGTCCCTACTACTCCCCATATGACCGCGTTGATGAACGCCATCACGAATCCCATCTTGAACACGTCCGGAAGATCGACATAACCCGCTGCCATCGAAATCAAAACAGATCACATTTTAACATTCGATGATCCCCAAGAACAGAACCGGCAAACTGTTTTGTAACGTACCTCCGTAGTAAACAGCGGCTTGGCCACTACTGTAATGCGTCAATGCGCCAAAGAGATTGGTGTTGTAAGCCAAAGCAAGTGCTGCGAGGATTCCCGGAACGCCGGCCGCTAAGTGCATTGCGAGGAAAGCAGAGTAGAGAGCTCCTACATGACCCGTCTGGCTGGCGAATAGATAGTGGATGAAGAAATACGCGGCCTGTAGAACTCCGAACGCGGCTGGCCATCCCAACGAGAGAGATTGCAGGAGTTTGGCCACACAATCCGACATCCATGTCACCACACCGAGGTTCGTCAGCTGTCCTGCCATTCCCACCAAGACTGCAAACCAAGCCAGCGTGTCCCATGCTGATTTCTCGCTAAGGCAGTCGTCCCATTCGAGGACGCCCAGAAGAAGAAGTATGGATAACCCGATCATGGCAGCTACAACACTCGGTATTCCAAGAGCCTCTCTGCAGTGCACATACATATTCAGAAAAAGATTATAAAAACGCCAAAGATGCAAACTTTGAGGCAATACGTACACATAGTTACAACCAGGTGGTCCATCTGAGGATAGAAATGAAATGAAGAGAATCTAAAGAACTCACCCACAGACCCAGAGAGACACAGCCAGAAGCATAGTGCTAACCATGATCAACTCATTCCTTGTGACAGGGCCCATCTGCTCGAGCTTCTTGGCAGCGATAGCAGGGGCTTCGGGTGTGTCTTTGGTTTCGGGAGGATAAAGCTTGTACAGGACTAGCGGAGTACAGAGAAGCGATAGAATTGCGGGCAAACTAGCAGCCTTGAACCAAGAAACCCATGGGCTTGAAAGCACTACTCCAAGCTCCTCAGCCAATTTCAGGCACAGCAAATTTTGTGCTGCGGCAGTCAAGAAAAGGGCACTGGAGTTGCCGGCACACTGTCACGAATCAGAAGAGAATAAGAACTGGTATGAAAAAGCTTGACAGGTTGAAGATTGGAATGAAAACCAAACACTCAAGAACATGTCAGTACACTCAAGTAGGACATAGAGAGTGTGGAAGACAAGACCTGATAGAGAACAAAATTCTATAGCGGCCAATACAGCCGACAAGAAGAACCATATAAAATTCAACAACAAATGCCACATTAAATGCAGTAGAGTAATGACAGCAAATACAGGGAATATATTCCCAGCAAGACATATTAAACTGGTGCAAACCACAAATTAATCCAATCCCCTCTCACATTTCTTCTCTAATTTGCTCTTAAAATGTAGATGTCTTGGGTCACTGAAGCAAAGCTCCTGGTCTTTGTCAACTTAAAAGGACTGATTCTACATTGTTAATGCATATGAACATCTTCAGACACATCTGAACAGAAAAAGACAGACACAGCTGTACTGAAACAGTGTTCCCAGTGCGATCCATCAGTTCTAGTTCGATCAAAGTAATGTACTTGTACCGTCAGCAAAATGTCCAGACACAGATAGGAGCCAATACTAGTAATAGTTTTTTCTAACATCGATGTTACCGAAGATGGAAACTTTGTACAATTCACCTGACCAGATCGGCAGCACAAACAACACTAACCTGAAACTGAGACTGGATCAGGAAAGAGCCCAATTTCCTCGACGACGAATCACCGGGTTTACTCCCCGCCGAGAGCGACAGTGACTTGATGATTGGCAAGAAAATTCCGCCGGCTCTAGCCGTCGTGCTGGGCATTGCCGGAGCAATCAGGGCTTCACTCAGAGTCAGCCCATAAGACAGACCAAGCGTGCTCTTACCGAGCCACTTCACGAAGTAAGTGGCGATCCTGTCGCCGAGCCCTGTCTTGACAAACCCACGAGCGAAGAAGAAGGAAATGACAATCAGCCATATGACCTCGCTCGTGAACGCTGAGAACGCGGCGGCGAACGGCAGAGTCCGAGTGACGATCGAGGTGGTGAGGCCGATGAAAGCCCACGCGCCGACGGGGAGAGGGCTGAGGACGAGACCAGCGATTGTGGAGAGGAAGATCGAGAGCAATTGCCAACCTTGAGGCGTGACACCCTCCGGTTTCGGAACCGCGAAGCGGAGTACAAGGCCGACGGCGACGGAGAGGATCAAAGGGAGGATCTTAGCACTCTGAGAAGGCGGAGGAGAAGGGGGTTTCGGCGGCGGCGATACATCGGCACTCGGGGGCGTCGCGGAGGCGCGTGGGGAGAAACGCGAACAGGGTCTGATGAGAGAGAAGGAGGAGATGGAAGTGGGTTTGAAGGAGAGAGATCGGACGGCGGGGAGAGAAGGGAGAGAGACGGAGGGAGACGGAGATCTGCGGCGGAGGAGAGAGAGGCGGGGGAAAGATGCGGTGGCGGTGGCGGTGGTGGTGGAGGAGGAGAGAGAACGAAGGGCTAAGCTCTCCATCGCCGCCGTGGAGAGTGATGAACGATGAGTGAATGGTGGAGAAAATGGTGAGAGACCTGAGGCTGTGACTTACAACTTGTGAGCCCACACAAGCCTACATGCAAGTTTTGCTTCTCAAAGGTCACTCCTTTTTTTTAATATATATATATATATATATATATATATATATGTATCTATGTGCTGAAAGGGCATTTCTTGCGGCGGGTGGGATGAATAATTCAACCCAAAAAAAAGTCAACAAAACTTATTATTTATATGTCAAACCACCGAGTGCTTGTTTGAGGTCTTAATTGTTAAAACTTATTATTTATGTTGATAAATGCTTTTTTATTTTAATTCCATGGTCCGATAAATGTATAAAAATAAAATTGTTATATTTAATATGAGATTCTCAAACATAATTTTGAATTAGTATATGTAAAAAGATTCAATTTTGGAAAAAAAAAATATTTGCAACATCAAATGCGGAAAACTTGAAGACAAAAAGCTAATATTAAAACTAATTAAACAACAAATTTAAAATAGTGTTGTTTCCACATAAAACATATCAATTTTATAATAATCCAAATTCAATTTTTATACATTAGTATCTTTAAATTTATGATCTTTAAGTTTATATATCGAAACTATATTTGAAAAATACAAAAAATATAAATTATTAAGTTTTTTTAATACACTATTTTTTTTAATATACTTCATATAAAATTTACTCTCGTGTATATCTCATCCTACCACAGAAAAAAATGAAATGGGTGGGTTGGGCTCATATGGAATTATTAAATAATTTTTGTATAATATAAAGTACTGTATATGTATATATTAAACTGTGAACAAAAATCATTATCATCCATACATCATGGCTCATGACATCATCTCGAGACCATGCACAACCATGACAGAGATTTCTAAACACTGAACATGTATGACTATTTTGCCATTAGCATTTAATTATTTAAGTTATTTTCGGGTATTAAAAATATTCCTACACATAAATTACAATGTTTAATCTTCACAGGATCTCTTTCTGAAAAGAGTTCGGCGTGCAGGATGCGAGGAGAAGGGGAAGAACCGGCAAGAGTCTTAATCACCAAATCTCCGATTCATCGCTTTCAGTACCAAAGATCCTTCTACGTTGTTGTGATTCGCGAGTCGCCATCTTCATCGTCAACTAAACCATTGTTCTTCTCTACCGCTTCGCCGCAGTTTCTCACTCCTTCCAGCTTCTAATTCATCGGAGACGTAGTGGGTTTCTCAAAATTTCAGATTTTTCGAAGTGGGTACTTTGTTTAATTTGTGTGGGGAAGAGAAATGGCGTCGATCAGCGTCTCCTCTCCTTCTTCTTCATCTCCTTCAACCATGGCTCTTTCGCGTCCTCGGTGAGGATTTTTTATTTTTTATTTAAGCCCCTTTGGATTTCTTTTTCGCCCTTCATTTGGTTGGTGAGATTTTGCTGCTCATGTTCTTCGTTTACTTTCCCGGGCTCTTCCAATGGCATGGCATATTCTTCCGTCTCATGTAGATTTTCTGTCAATCTATTCCTCATCTCCACTGTCGATATGCTGTTCCTTGGATGTTGCTTGGAGAAACATATGTGTCGTCAATTCGAAGTGGGTATTCCGTGGTTTCAACTAGATGGAATTTCTAGGGTGGATCACGGCTTCTAGTTTGCATATCCGAGAAACGCTTGAATCTTATATTGTTGCCATGGAGTACATCGTATCGGTTTCCCATCCACTGGCCATGGCATTAAGACTGCTGGTAGAGTTAAGGCTGCAGTAGTTTCTAGAGAAGGTGATCTGTTGTCGAATGTCAATGGCAGTGCTGCTCTCTCAAACGAGGCTCCGACAGCATGATGATGAGTTTGATTTGGACTCGCTGACTGAAGGTTTCTCCTCAACCCCTGAGGCAATTGAAGATAATCCCCCAAGGAAAGGTTTGTCTGACTTAAACCATTTTCCTTCTACCTTTTTTGTTTTCCTTAATCGTCTTAATCTGAAGAAAAAAAAGTCCCTTGACTGGTTGCAATAGCTTGTGGTAGTTGTGGATGATGAAGATGGAGAAAACGAGGGGAGTTTGGTAATGGCAGCCCAGTTGGCAACACACTCGAGGCTATGGCTTTTATTGTGAAACATGAGATGGGAATAGTTTGTGGTTTGTGTGAGCATGAAAGAGGAAGACCTTCAGAGATTGTAGCTTCCTTTAATGGTAGACCAAAGAGAAAATGAGAAAAAGCTCTGTACAGCATTCACGGTGACTGTGGTAAGTACTTCGAAAAGTTCATTCTGGATGCTATATTTTTCAATATCACCACTGTTTTCATGTCTACTTTCTTGTTTTATAAATGACGATACCATTTGAACTTTCTCGGTATCAAGATCCATTTTGAATGGATCACGATGGTGATTTTACTGAATTTTCTGCTAACACATACTGATTACTCTGGTTTCTGTTTATCAGACATGTGTATCATTAAGGCTGCTTATGTTTATCTAATTTGCTGCTTGTAGTCTTGTTTAATAGGATGCGAAACAGGGGTTTCAGCTCGTGACCGGGCAACAACGATACGTGGCCCGAGGATTTCAACTGCCCTCGTCATATTTTCCCACTTATGTATTGCGAAGGTGGGGTTTTGAAAAGGGCTAGACATACTGAAGCATCTGTTTGATCTCGCTGTTTTAGCTGGACTGGATCCTGTTGGAGTTCTTTGTGAAAATTGCTGACGATGATGGTTCCATCCATGGCAAGGCTCAGAAGCTTCGTGAATTTGTTGCAGAGAACAACTTGAAGATCGTATAAATTGCTGATTTGATAAGGTAGGTACTGGAAACTTTTGACGGGTGGTCTGTTAATGGTGTACATTGTGTGAGCTGATGTTTAAAGCAACCCGAGATTTTAGGGAAGCGTGTTTGTGTGTTGATCTCGTCACATCCCCTTGCAAATTTTTAATCTAGCGTTCTTATTATTCTAACTTTGACAGGTATAAGAGGATAAGAGATAATAAACTCGTGGAACGTTCGTCTGCAGCTCGAATTCCGACAATGCGGGAACCATTCACGGCTTATTGCTACAGATCCGTAATAGACGGAATACATCGCGATGGTTAAGGGTGAGTGGTGCTGATACTTCTCTTCTTGGATTACTTTGGATTTAACTTTCAGACACTAAGTTTAGTTAGTAACATTCTCTAAGAGTTAAGAGATCAATTTGGATATCCCGCTGTTGGAAAGGCTGGTCGCTACGCCGTGGAAGCCAATGAAGAACTCTTCATATCTCACTGATTCGTCGACGGGTGCAGATACTCTGAGGGACCTGGGCGTAAGAACGATGAAACCGATGATGAACAAGCCGGCCAAGTACGTGGGGTTAAAGGGCTATGGCCTGAGCATTGTGGGGAGAGTCCCTCTCCTTAGTCTGATCACAAAGATACGTTGAAGCGAAGCGGACAACTTGTATGGCTTCAGATTCAATGGCAGCTTAGTTGAGAAGAAGACCAAGACCGATGATGCATAGGAAGAGCCGACAGAAGGAGAAGACTTCGATCTGTCTGATAATTTGCTGGATTGTGTTAGTTGATTGACATCTCGTCTGATAATTATTGCATTTGATTGCTACTGGTTTTGCAACTTGAGTGCTGCATCAGATTCCATGGATAGTTACTGAAACTTTATGATATAATATATATATATATATATAAAAACAAACCAGAATTCTTCGTCAAATCACTTTATGGGAGAGAGTTGGAAGAAAAGCGGAGAAAATTCATTAATACGAAGGAAATAAATAATAATGTGGACCCACCTGTCGCCGCGTGAAATCAGCATCATTAGATTTCCAAGTAATCGACCGTTACAATTACGGAAAAAAAATCATTTTTTATTATGACAACGGTCAGATCTCCTTTCCATCCAACGTCTCTTAAATAGCCACGTGTACATACACAACGCATCCATGACACCTGTCTAATATCCGTTGGCATCCGCGTTCTTTTTCTTTTCCTCGCTAGCTGGCCTAAACAAGTCTTCACCGTCAGATTTTCCTGGCTTCTCATTTCTTTAGATCCAACGGTGAATTATCAAAAGTTTTCCATCCTTGTGGGCCCCACGTAACTCCCTATATATACACTATCGGACTCCTCATACACCACCAAACACTGAAACTGAAAACCTTAGACGCAGATCTAAAAGCGAATCGATTCGAATTCTCTCTCTTTCTTGAGAAATGGCGATCTCAATCTCTAAAATCATAGGGTTCCTGCTTCTTGCTAGTCTCCTGATCTCTTCCTCCGCGGCGCAGTCGCCGGCTCCGGCTCCGTCGAGCGGCGGCGGAAGGCGGATCTCTCCCGCCCCTTCGCCGAAGAAGACAACTTCTCCAACTCCCGCAACTGCTCCGGCTCCGGATTCATCAGTCAGCTCGCCACCGTCGCCGCCGCAAGCTGTTTCTCCTACCGCCGACTCGCCGGCAGTCACTCCGTCTTCGCTCTCAACTCCGCCGGCGAACGCTCCGGGTCCCGCCCAGAACAGTGCCGTTTCGAACAGATTCGCTGTGTTTGGATTTGTAGCGGTAGTTTTGTGCACCTCCGTTTTGGTTGTGTAAGTTTGACCGAGGGGAGGGTTTTCGAGTCGGTTTTATTTACTTCAGATACATATCAAGAGAGATTATTCTTTGTTTTCGTTTCCTGTTTATGGCTTTGTTTTTTTTAAAGGGAATTAATATTTGATTTCCATGGTGTGTATCCATAGTAATATTATTATCTATCATTTTTTTCTATTAATGATTTTTTTTCTTATTATTATGTTTGAATCGGAAATCGAAACCTGAGTTCGCGAACCGTGAAAATTTTTAAAAATTCCATTGACTTGTGTTAATTTTAGAGGTATATAGATGATTTTATCTCCAAATAGATCAAAATATTTTTTTAATAAATAAATGTCTATCCCTGTAAAAAAGGTTATTATAAAAACAAAAAAAAAAGTGCGATTTTTTACTTTAAAAAAATAGATACATGATTAGAAATATAATTTGATCACATGTAATCTAATTACATATTAATCTCATTAGTCATAATGGTTAATTTATAACATTAACATTATGAATAATAAAATTAATATATGATCAGACTATATTTGTGATCATAAGTTCATCGTTATAGTTGATAAGGATATGTAGATGAAATCAGAATAGTAAGGGGTTATTTTTAATATTCTGATGAAAAAAAATGTAAAAGTTCACCCAAAGCACAAACGTCATGATTTATTGGCAATATTCATAAATAAAAATTCCAGGCATTAAATCTTAACATTGTTCTGAACAAATTATCAGTCGGTCCATATGAATAATTGGGCTGATTGGTGGTGTACAATTAATGTTGGGTATTTGGGCCCATTTTATGGGCTTCGTTTTAACCGGGCATGTTTTACAAAAAAATAAAATAATTTAGCGTCCATTCGTTAACCGGGTGAGTCACAAGCCCGGTTCGATATTCAAGTCGAGAGAATCAATCAGCATCCAGAACACACGTGTGTACATACAATTCAAACACAATTAACCAAACCAAACCGGACTAAACCGGATTTATACTGGCACTGGCAGATAGGGATGTCAATTGGGTTGGCCCAACCCATTTGGGTCCAATCCATATGGATTTGAAGGATAAACGGGTTGGGTTGGGTCGACCCGTTAATAATAGTGGATGGGTTAGGTCGACCCATTAAACCCGTATAAACCATATAAATCCATTTAGATATTCACAAATTACTTATACATATATAACTATTTAATATATATATTCATATAACCTAGAAATTATCATTTTAATATTCCATTCGGTTTATCGATTCAATAAAAATATATATAAAATTGGATATTATATTATATTCGATAGTTTATAAAAAAATTATACATTTCTTTAAAAAAAATAAGATTTTTTTATTTTTTTTAAATTCGATTCGATGTTTTAAAAATATTGTCGTTTAAATTTTTTGAACGGTTCGTTTTAAAAACGACACCGATTTTTTCAATACGATTCGATTAAGAAATGGTTCCAGTTTTTCGGTATGATGCGTATTTTCGGTACGATTCGATTCGGAACCGTAATTTGGAAAAAGAAGGGATATTGGACAGCCTTAAAAGCTTTTTCGTTACCGATTTTTTTATACGATTTGAATTTTTCGGCACGATTCGATTCGAAAACGACACCGAGTTTTTTGGTACGATTCGATTCGGAACGGTACCGAGTTTTTTATACGATTCGAATTTTTTTACACGATTCGATTCGAAAACGACACCGTGTTTTTCGCTACGATTCGATTCGGAATGGTACCAAAATTTTTATACGATTCGAATTTTTCGACATGATTCGATTCGGAAACGACATTCAGTTTTTCGGTACGATTCGATTCGGAATGGTACCGAGTTTTTTATACGATTCGAATTTTCCGGCATGATTCGGAAATGACACTGAGTTTTTTTATATGATTCGATTCGGAAACAAAACCAATTTTTCCGGTTTGATTCGGAACGGTATCGAGATTTTATATGATTCAAATTTTTCGGCACGATTTGATGCGAAAACGACACCGAATTTTTCGGTATGATTTAATTCGGAGCAATATCGAGTTTTTCGACACGATTCGAATTTTTCGATACGATTTGAAAACAAAACCTTATTTTTCGTTACGATTTGATTCGAAAACGATACCAAATATTTCGATTTAATTCTTATACATATATATAAGTATATATATATATAAATATCTAAATATATAATGAATTTAATAGGTTAACCATTTAACCCATGGGTTTAATGGGTCAAAACCCGTTTAACTCATTTTAAAAAATTAACCAAATGGGCTAACCCATTTGGGTTTATAAATGGATCGGGTTGAGTCGACCCGTATAACCCGATCCATTTTGACATCTCTACTGGCAGACATCCATTCATGGGCTTGCTCTCTGATACTCAACTAGGGTTTTCTCACTCTCTCCATTAACTTTGTAATTTTGTATTCTTTGTTGTTCGGTTCGCGTGAAAATGGTTGGACAACGGAGGAAAAGACAGAGAATATCAGCTTCTATATATATATATATATATATATTGTGTATCTAAAAATATATGCATGTATAAATGAATTGTTACAGCCCCAGACATGACATAAGAATATTATAGGATTAGTTAGGATCTTGGATCTGTAATATATAATATAATATATATATATATATATATATTATATTACAGAAAACGCACTACACGATTCGATTCGAAAACGACACCGTGTTTTTCGCTACGATTCGATTCGGAACGGTACCAAAATTTTTATACGATTCGAATTTTTCGACATGATTCGATTCGGAAACGACATTCAGTTTTTCGGTACGATTCGATTCGGAATGGTACCGAGTTTTTTATACGATTCGAATTTTCCGGCATGATTCGGAAATGACACTGAGTTTTTTTATATGATTCGATTCGGAAACAAAACCAATTTTTCCGGTTTGATTCGGAACGGTATCGAGATTTTATATGATTCAAATTTTTCGGCACGATTTGATGCGAAAACGACACCGAATTTTTCGGTATGATTTAATTCGGAGCAATATCGAGTTTTTCGACACGATTCGAATTTTTCGATACGATTTGAAAACAAAACCTTATTTTTCGTTACGATTTGATTCGAAAACGATACCAAATATTTCGATTTAATTCTTATACATATATATAAGTATATATATATATAAATATCTAAATATATAATGAATTTAATAGGTTAACCATTTAACCCATGGGTTTAATGGGTCAAAACCCGTTTAACTCATTTTAAAAAATTAACCAAATGGGCTAACCCATTTGGGTTTATAAATGGATCGGGTTGAGTCGACCCGTATAACCCGATCCATTTTGACATCTCTACTGGCAGACATCCATTCATGGGCTTGCTCTCTGATACTCAACTAGGGTTTTCTCACTCCCGGGTCTGATCAAAGACGGTTGTATTCTTTGTTGTTCGGTTCGCGTGAAAATGGTTGGACAACGGAGGAAAAGACAGAGAATATCAGCTTCTATATATATATATATATATATATTGTGTATCTAAAAATATATGCATGTATAAATGAATTGTTACAGCCCCAGACATGACATAAGAATATTATAGGATTAGTTAGGATCTTGGATCTGTAATATATAATATAATATATATATATATATATATATTATATTACAGAAAACGCACACATGCCTTTACTGTGCACCAAATTGAGAGAGAGGAAATAGTAAATGATTTCATTTTCATCGACATATGCCTGGTGAGAGCCCAACCAACCAAACAATAATCTCTTGATACGTACACGTGGCATCGTATCCAATTCTGCTACGTGGCATCTTTCTCGCCACCACTGCTCCATCACATGATTACATCAATTAATACATATTACATATATATATATATATATATATATAATATGTATTAATGCATGGATGCATGGGCGTTGAATGATATGTAGGGTATTGGATTGGACCGTGGCTTCGCTATCTCCATTATTCTCGGCGAGCTACCTTGCTTTTAATAATATGTATTATACGTTTCATATTATAAAATATAGACACATACGATATCCAAAATATATACCATGTGAATATATATGTTTCGTTATAGACTTAAAGATACGAATTATATGTATCTATTTTATAATATGTATGGTAAAAGAGAAGTGAGATGCATGGACCCATCGATGAGAGAAAGCCTCAGAGCAAAGGAGGAGAAAAAGGAGAAATGAAATATAACAGCAGAATTCAGATAACCCAAAAACAGTAAGGCAAAGAAGATGGAGCAGTGGCCTTTTTATCATCTCATGACTCTCACTGCACAACTTGTCCCCCCTCCATTTTTAATCTACCAATCAAATCTCTCTCTCTCTCTCTCTCTCTCTCTCTCTCTCTCAGCTTCTATCATCCTTCTTCTTCGTTCACATATATATAACCAGAAGACATTCTCTTCATAATAGATATAGGTAGGTACATGTATATATGTGGGTAATATATATAGAGGTTTTGAAGGAGTGAACATAAATAAGGTTAGATTGTTTTTAAGTTTGTATATATGGTGAATCTACAAAAAAATAATAAAAATAAAACCTAAACAATATAATAATAGAGTTAGAGAATTGGTGCATGAGAGTTAGTGTTAAAAGCCCATTACTTGACAGGCTGTATGGAAAAAACTTTGCGGCTAAAAAAAAATCTCTGAGAAAACTCCAATTTCCCGGAGCATCCCATGTGGGGATGATTCCATTCTCCCTTCAAATTCACTCTCGGTGTTCTGTCTTTCTCCTTGTATTGCATGGTCACTTTCTCAGGAAAACATTACAATCTCACTCCTGTCAGAGTCCGAGTTTGAAGGTGAATCATGTGGGAATCCGAGAGTGACGTCGCCGGAGGAGGCGGAGGAAGAGAGTACGGCAATGGAGTCTCGAGCTCTAACAAACATGGCGTCAAGACAGATGGCTTTGAGCTCAGAGGCCAGTCTTGGTAATCTCAAAATCTCTTGTCAGTTCAATACTGGATTACAGATGGTTGTCCTTATCACAATTTTGCTGAATCTACACAGTCGAGTTATGTTTCTTCATGAAGAAGTCATGATTCCGATAACTCTGTCCATGCAGGCACGTAGCCACGGATATTCCGAGCGATCTTCTGGTTAAAATTGGCGATGTTAATTTCCACTTGCACAAGGTATATGTATATGTCTCTGCTGTCGAATCTTTTTCTTCGAGCCCATGCGTCGAATTCGCAGATTCTTTCGTGCTAAGTTAGGTGTTTTGATGACAGTATCCGTTGCTTTCACGTAGCGGAAAGATGAACAGACTGATCTACGAGGCCCGAGATCCAGACCCGAGCATCGTTATTCTTTCCGATCTTCCCGGAGGACCGGAAGCCTTCGAGCTCGCCGCCAAATTCTGCTACGGAGTTCCCGTGGATCTAACCGCGACCAACATATCGGGGCTGAGATGTGCGGCCGAGTTTCTTGAGATGACAGAGGACCTTGAAGAAGGAAACCTCATCTTCAAGACAGAAGCTTTCCTAAGCTACGTCGTCCTGTCTTCGTGGAGAGACTCCATCTTGGTCCTAAAGAGCTGCGAGAAGCTTTCGCCGTGGGCAGAAAACCTTCAGATTGTCAGAAGGTGCAGTGAATCTATCGCTTGGAAGGCTTGTAGTAACCCGAAGGGAATCAGATGGGCTTACACCGGGAAAACACCGTCCGCTTCTGCTAATTTCTCGAGTTCCAGTCCCAAATGGAACGAACCGAAAGATTCGGGTCTGACCTGTAGCCCGAGTAGGAACAACCAATCGGTTCCTCCAGATTGGTGGTTCGAAGATGTTTCCATCTTGAGGATTGATCACTTTGTTCGTGTCATCACCGCAATCAAGGTGACGTTTCCTTGGAAATATCGGTTCTTGTGTTCTTCGTGTTACCGTTAATGCTTAAAACTGTATCATTGCATCTGAAATGTGGGTCCTTGGGGATGGAAACAGGTGAAAGGTATGAGATTTGAGCTGGTCGGAGCTGCAATCATGCATTACGCCGGAAAATGGCTCCCGGGTCTGATCAAAGACGGAGTTCTCGGAACTCCGGCGACATCCGCCGTTGGAGGAGACGAGATGAGCGTCAGCGGAGGAAGCAACAGTAGCGGAGGGACGGTGAGCACCGCCGCATCGGCGGCCGCGGCGGCCTGGAAAGGCGGACTACACATGGTTCTCTCTGGTAAAACCAACGGCCAGGACTCACCGTCGCCGGGAATCAACCCGAAAGATCAACGGATGATCGTGGAGAGTCTTATAAGCATCATCCCTCCTCAGAAAGACTGCGTATCTTGTAGCTTCCTTCTCCGTCTCCTCCGAATGGCAAACATGCTGAAAGTGGCTCCTGCACTGATAACAGAGCTCGAGAAACGTGTCGGGATGCAGTTCGAACAGGCGGCATTGCCGGATCTCCTCATCCCTGCTTACAACAACAAAGGGGAGACAATGTACGACGTCGATCTTGTCCAGAGATTGTTAGAACACTTTCTTGTTCAGGAACAGACAGATGGGTCGAGTCCAAGCAGGTCATCGTCCTCTGTTTACGCTGATGGAGTTCAGAGAGTCAACAGCGGAAACAACCCGACCGCGAAGATGAGAGTGGCGAGACTCGTTGATAGTTATCTTACGGAAGTGGCCAGAGACAGGAACTTGTCTTTGACCAAGTTTCAGGTCTTGGCCGAGGCGTTGCCGGAATCCGCCAGGACATGCGATGATGGGCTCTACAGAGCAATTGATTCATACCTCAAGGTACTGTATCTACGTTTCTCCTCACCTGGTTTCCAGATTTGTACAGATTCTGATTCGATCCTTTGTTGTTCTTTTTAAACAGGCACATCCTACGTTGTCGGAACATGAAAGGAAGAGGCTTTGCAGGGTGATGGACTGTCAGAAGCTGTCCATTGACGCGTGCATGCACGCGGCACAGAACGAGAGACTGCCACTGAGAGTGGTGGTTCAAGTCCTCTTCTCGGAGCAAGTCAAGATCAGCAACGCCTTGGCCAATTCATCTCTCAAAGACTCGTCCATGGCTGCCGGGGAAGCCCTCAGTTCATATCAGCCGATGATTCCCAACCGGAAAACTTTGATCGAAGCAACACCTCAATCCTTCCAAGCAAGTCACCATTTTTTTTTTGTCGCTGAGAAATTCCCAGGCGTTTCTTTCTGACACGAACTCTGTTACTGACAGAAGTTTAATGAATATTTTGGACATTTCAGGAAGGGTGGGCGGCGGCCAAGAAGGACATAAACACGATGAAGTTTGAACTGGAGAGCGTGAAGACAAAGTACGTGGAGCTTCAGAACGAGATGGAGGCTCTGCAGAGACAGTTTGAGAAGATGGGCAAGGCCAAGAACACATCGGCATGGACCACTGGTTGGAAGAAGCTGAGCAAGCTGACAAAGATGGGCGGTCCGGAGAGCCATGAGATGGTCGGGCCAGGACAAGTCGGTGGCGCGGACCAGATGACGAGGAAGACGCCGAGGAGGTGGAGGAACTCGATTTCTTGAGGGACAAGGAAGAGGGTTCTTGAGGTTCGAATCTTGGTTTTGTGGGTCTACTTGCATTGGATGTGTTTTGTTGATTGTTCCTTACTTTGAAGGGGAATCAGATAAAAAAGAAAAAGGAAAGAAGAAACAAGGGCTTTGTGGGGGTCATTTTGTTAAATCTTTGTAACGATTCTATACGCTGCTGGTATAAATAATTGAAATATGATTTTTTATTTCCTTTTTGATTACTCATATACGGTGGATTCACAAAGTCATGCCAATACAGATGAGGGGATTTAGAGAAATTTCAAAGACACACCCATTATATAATATGATCAAACTTGTTACAATCCAAGAAATGAAACATAGAGGACAGGACACAACATAAACAACAGGACAGAGAGAAGGACAACCGACCGGAACACATGGGGGGAAGAGGGGACTAAGCAAGAGACAGAAGAGGTTCCCAATTCCATTATTACACTGATTAGTAGTTTTACAAGAACTATGACCTCAATGATTCAAGACACAGCATGGACCCCATCACAAGAAGAGGAGGGCCTGTCTCCATCAAAGCAAGAGATGAGCTTTCAGAGCCAAAGGAGGAGGAAGAAGAGATTGATGCAGATGGGGAGAAATGATGAAAACCCAACAGAGAGAATGAACAGAAAGCAGAGGAGACAAAAGGTGGGGACAGTGATTTTACCTAATGAGAGAAGAGATGGTGTGGTGGTGGTGGGCATGCGCATTCATATTGATTTGCCCTTTTTTCCTCCTCACCACCTTCTTCACTTTTTGTGGCACACCATATCACACACAAAAAAATCCAAAACTATAATCATTGACGATCGATGAAGACGACGACCTGTTCTTCTCTCACCTTTCTTCCACTTCAAGCCCAGAAAGTGACCTCCTTTCTTTTCTTTTTACTACTGTTCAGCATGCTCAAAGTAGTCCACTATGTACAGCTATATAGCTCTTGAAAGACAGGAAAGGGCAGGGGGATCCGACCCCACATTGACCAGATAGTGTTAATTATTTCAAAACCCACGTTAATCGAAATCTTGATCCGGAGAATCTTCAGGCCTTCTTATTCATTAGCTTCTGTTCCTTGTCCACACTTTAACCAGCATGCTTATGAAGGAGGGGGTTTTTAACAGTGGTTAACCCCTAAAGGTTTCACATTTTGCTTCAGTGCCTTGAGGTAATCAATGGCTTCATCCAGAAGCCAGAGGGCTTCCTTTCCCTTTGCACCGGGGACTACGCTCTCGAGTATTTTCAGGGCAGTCCGGATTTTGTCTTTCTTCGACTGCTCGTTGCTCAGACCAGAGCCCATTCCCTCTTTGCTCGAGCCGCTGCTTGTTTCGGGAAGATTATCGTCCTTTGCCAATCTTTTGTATCCACCATCCAGCAGTTTCTGCCTTTTACGAGGACCATCATTGCTATTGGTTTCCCCGAGTTCTGTTCTGTTGCACAGTTCTGTTCTGTTGCACACTTCTTCGACGGGGGAAGGAGAGTGACCAGTGCTCATTACTTCATCATCACTCTCACAATCATCGTCATAATCATCCTCGTCTGAATACAGCAGTGCATTGATTTCCTCAGTGTCTTCATGCATTTCAGACTCTTCACCATTTACATGGTTCTCATCAGTATCTTCACCCGAAAGAAACTTGCCCGGGATAAAACTATCTTTTCTGAACCCTTTCTCCAGATCGTGTAAACCGGGAAGTTTACCGGGTTCTCCAGCAACAGCAGATGGATACTGAACAGGAAGTGCTGTACATCGTAACAAACGAGTCTGGTTTCCTGACTGATCGAATATCAGAAGTTTTTTTTGAGGAGAATTCAACCCCTCATTCGGTGCAGCGGCAAATCCAGAAGATCCGTGGAAACATGAGAACTGGTTTTCACGGGCTCGATGGCCATGGCTTGGAAATAAAGCTTGGAATGGTGGCTGAAAATAGCGAGCCTGACGCTCAGCTTCATAGACTTTCTCAAGCTCGGGAACAGGAATAGCAGGACGGGTAAACCCGGCAGCTATATCCTCAAAGAAAGCTTGAGGGATAATGCCCGAAGGCAAACATCCTGGTTTCTTGATATCAAGAGGCATGCTCTTGCAGTTTATGCCAAGGGAAAATTAAAGAATACAAAGCTGCAGGACAAAACAAAAACAAGAGCAAGAATTATTATCCATAATGATCCAACAGAACATCACTATTGATCCACAAAAAAACGAACAAAGAAGATTTTAGGACAGTAAAGAGCCGAGGTTCAGTTAACATACCGATTATGGATGTTGCTCAATCCGCTTCGTGCAATGCTTCTCGTTTACTTTGAGACAATAGTGAAAAACAAAAACAAGACAAACAGAAATCCCAGCTTGAAAACACAACGTGGCCTTTCAAACGATCTACGTGACTGGTTTGAGAAGATGACGGAAGTACTCAGCCTGTAAAAGGGACAAGAAATCATTCGACAGAACACAGGGTTAAAGATTTCACAATACGAACTGAATTATGTATGATACAATCAATAATGGTGAGACCTGGCAATTATCCATTGGTTGAAAGCATGCAATAACTCTGACTACAATTGTTGGTTTTCCGGCGTCACCGTTCTCGTACTTCAATGCTCGAAATCTTGTCTGACCAGCTGCTTGGCACACCATAACTCCGCCAAAACTCTTGTATAAAAGTTACAGAAGACGAATATCCTAAAATATGACGAGACAGACCTAAGAATGATGACAGGTAGAAGGAGAGAGCTTAAGCAGTGGAAGGAAACAAAAGAAGACAAGAGAGAGAGCTAAAGGAGAAGACTCGGGTTCGAAAAAAAGCTTTCTGCGACGAATCCTTTAGCTGATCCTATACTGATCACAACAGAAGAAGAAAAAGTGTAGGGATCCCATGGACAGTGTGGCAAGAAACTCGAGAAAAAGGCTGAAGAAAGAGAAGAAAAGTTGAGGGATTGGATTCAATGAAAGAACAACGGTTTACAGAATCACTCGGCAATAAAGATTCAAGCGCACGACTTTGCGGTACACATCAACAGAAAGAGTGAACCAACACATGCTGTTCCCCCCTGCCTTTGTGCTCAGCCTCTCCAACTTAGCGTATTCTACCACCCAAACGTTTCTGCGGCCAAAAGGAGAAAGGATGGAATCTCATCAACACCCACAAAAGATCCAAACTTTATGAAGGTTTTGGCCATGAAAAGCAAAATAACGATGAAACACACAAAGGGTAGAGAATTCCCCGCAACAGAGAAAAAAAAAATAACATATGCAAGCACATCTGCATCTGTCTGAGCGTTGTGGGTAACATAAAAAAAATAGGGTATTTCAGACAGCAAATCGAATCAAGCAATAGGTGATCTAAGAACAGATCTTTCATTCAGAGATACCGCCGAAAGAAAGCCGATCAAACAAAACAAATGGCTAGTAAGTAATAAATGAAAGTCAACATAAAGAACACGCGGATTTCTTAATTCAAGAACGATTTCAACTCTTTTTCCAGCCTAAGACGTAGCTCCCTCGTTCACATGCCAAATTTTCTCGGGAAACAAACAGGGAACGAGGCCACAGCATCAGAAACCTAAAATAATTGCGATATGTTAGCTTACAGGGACGAGACAGAGGAAGATTTCTCGCTCAGATCCAGAGAAAGACGATAGATTTTGGGAGATGAATCCACGCAAAAGCCCAACGGATAAGAGGAGAGAAAGCGACCACCGAGCAAAGAATGAATTACTGCACCGTCGAATTTTTGGGAAAATGTTTCTAAAGAGGTAGGAATCAAGAAGAGTGGTAAGCCTTTATAGAGGACCATATGACGCTTTTACCCTTCTCTTACACCTGTAACTACCAAATTACCACTGTACGTATTTCTCCTCGCTCTACGTATTTAGTTGTCATTTATCTGCCTATGAATATATAATAAATAAAAATATATAAACAAAGTCGATAAAAACAGACTTAATGGTTATATTCCTATGGAATGCTTAATTACGAAACCGATAATATAATAACTATTTTTTTAAAGAAAACTTTTGATCGACATCAAACTTCAGAAAAAAGTATATTATAAAAATATGAAAATATTGATTTTTTAAACGAACCAAACATTTGTTAGTCTTTTCTTTTTAACATGCATTTTTATATTTTCAATTTATGTGACGGTAGTAAAAAAGAAAAAAAAAATAGGAGATTTGATTTAATATAGTTATTTCTTTTTATTATTATTATTATTATTGTAAATAAGGTAGAGGAAATTAGGGAGGGTTCTACTCCTCCCTGCATTCCCCCCGTGGCTTATAGTTCAGGGACTGCTGACATTACCAAGTTGCAAGATTGTGCGTTGGACTGCTTGTTCCATTTGGCAGATTTGTACTTATCTTCTTTGGCGGGAGAGAAACCAGAGATTGCATACGCAGAGATTTCGGGGTCCTCAACAGCTTATTGATGAGGTGGACCGTTCCTTCCGTACCAGAATAGCGGCACTGAGGACTGCATCACCCGAATGGGCAAGTAGAAGTATCCAATTCTGGTTTTCAACTATGAGATAAGATTAATCTCCCCTTTTCCGTCTCGTAGGTGACTAACGCGCTGGTCTGTAATTTGTTATTTTGACTCTTGCTAAAGCAAGTATCACTATGTACCATGTCTCAATTTAATACAAAATGCCTTTTATCAAAAAAAAAGAAATTTTCGACCTACTTAATTGAAATGTGGTCCAAGCGGGCTGAACATCTACACCTAATTATATACCGTATGAAGATGATGAAAAATTTTACTATTCATCACTTTTATTTCACGAGATATATCATTGAAATAATATTTTATCGTTTTATAATCAATTAAAAATTTAAAATAGTTTAAAACTAATATAATTTTCTTGACGGTTCGTTAAAGTAAATGCCCATATTTTCCTCTCCTTTTATTAACAAAAGCTAAAACAGTCAAAGTCTGCTTGAACCTCTTTCCATTCTTTTTCTTTTCTTTTTTTTTTAAAATTCGTTTAAACTATTTTTTAACTTTCGTGAAAAGGGAGAAAAATAATAATTAAGCCAAACACATCATAAATTCTATTTACCTTTCAATTCACAGAATAATTATTATAATATGCCTAAAATAGACTATTTCTGAATTCATGTCCATATCAATTATTTAAACTATATATATATATATAGTTTAAATAATAAGTAAAAGAATTTATAACGAGACTTCTTTCCCTCAGTTCATATCAGCCGATGATTCCCAACCGGAAAACTTTGATTTTTCAAGTGCTTAATTCTTTCCTCTCTTTTTCACTTTCACAAAATATATATATATATATATATATATTTTTTTCCAAAATGTAAGATTAGATTTAAACGATCATAAATCTAAGTTATGATTACGATTTTAGAACAACCGTTTTTAAAAGCATTTTGATGTTATATTTGGATCCTTAATTATATTAATAAAACAAATGAAGAACATTGATTATATTAATAAAACTTGTGATTTGTAAAAATTGCAATAATCTCATAGTTTAGAAATCTATAAAACAAAATCCATTCAACAAAAAGTGTGGGAGAAATAATAGAAATGATTGAAAGAGTCCGACAAAATCTTTGCTGTTTTACACTCCCTACCATATTTTCACAAACACATCTCATAAAAAAACCCTAAAACACAAACCCTAAATCCATCATTCATTATTCTTTTTTTTAAAATTTATACCTTCGATCTAACGACCCTTGGACTCTAAACTTCTTTCTCTTTTCATCATTGCTATATATACACACCCACCTTAAAACCAGGATTGCAAACATATATATATATATATATATATATATATATATACATATATAATAATAGCAAAAGATTGAGATTTTTTAGATATATATGTTCCATTATATGTTTAAAAAAAAAATAGAAAGACATAAAACTATCACTTGTAGTGATTTGTTGTTTCCTACCATTTTTTATTATAATATTACAACGCTTTTTCATTGTTTATGTTTGATATATACACACACACATATACCGACAAAAGATTGAGAAAATATTTCACCGGTCGGTGCAATCAACCACGAGATGAGCTCGGGCTTTGGCGTAATTGATAAAAAAAAAAAAAAAGAAGAGACTATTGGGCCTTAACATGGGCCGGGGTTTTCATGGGACGAGCTTGGGCTTTGGTGTAAATAATGTTCAAAAAGCCTATTGGGCCTTAACATGAGCTGGGTCTTTCATCGACTAATACTATATACACATATTACACTTTCATTTCTAAATTTGAGCCTGAAATTATTTATATATATATATATATATATATCCCAAACAACTGAAAAGTTCTCTTATATCACAACTCTGGTTAAAGTAAAGATGAAATGGTAATATGCAGTTTACATACAATAAAAACAAACGTGTGTAATTATTTTATGGTCGATAATTATATATATATATATATATATATATATATATATATATAGAAAAGGAATAGTTGATAATTGTATTGTGCTATGGAATATAAAAAAGAGAAAAAGAATATGCGAAGGGACAGCATATCCTCCCCGGGGGAGACTGACCACATGCTACCTTCCACCATTTCCTTTGACCTCTTTAGCTAAATATCTCTCAAATCATTATACCAATATACACACGTGCCTATGGCGGTCCAATTTAATTATCACATAATTCATTACACATTATGTTAGCTGAGTGATAATTATCTTATCCCTAAATTCAGGTTTCCAGTGCCGAAACATAACCATACATATAGATACATGTAGGCGGTCCAATATTATTTCAATTTGAAATCAAATTCTAACATCTTTTAATAAACTACGAATCTGTTCCAAAGTGACGAACAAAATGACAGTGAAGGGTCCTTGTCTAGTGACCGTAGGGACAAACCCTTTGTACAGAGCCATCGGACCCTCCGCCGTCACCGTCTTCACGACGCAGTCCAACGGCCCGTCGTACGCCGGAGCCGCCGCATCCATGTTCATCATCCTCGTCTTCACCACGTCCACTGGGTTCGACGCCACCTCCGCGACCAGTCCGGCCACGCTCGCCGCCGCGTGTGTCCCCATCCCTTCCGGCGATAATCCTCTTCCGCCGGCGACCATCGCCTCCTTCACCTGGTCGTACGTCGCCAGCTGCGACGCCGTCACTATCATCGCTCGGTTCACCGTCAGCCACGACCCGCGCCACAGCGAACCAAACCCTTCACGCCTCGCGATCTGACCAATCGCGTCGACGACGCGCTTGTAGTTTCTACGGCGTTTCAGGGGCAATCGTCCGTCGGCCTGCATCCGCACCATCGCCACGTCAGCTGGGTTTCCGGCGACGGAGCCGATAGCACCGGCGATGAGACCGGCGACAATTTTGGCGGCGAGGGGGAAGTCTCCGGCAGCTCGGTCGGTCCATCTGCGCTTGAGGAAGTCGTAGATGCCCATTCGGGTGGCGGAGTATAGCATCTGACGGAGGACGGTGGCGGAGACGCCGGAGAACAGAGCGCCGGGACCTTCGGTTCTGACAATGTGAGCGCCGACGGAGAGAGGGGTGGCGCGTGGCGGAGGATGTGCGCGCGTGGACGAAGGTAACAAGTAAATACTGCCGATGGTAGAGTCGAGCGCGAAAACGGGTGGGTATGGATCCAGGGGAAGAATCGGGTTCGGGTCAGGATCCATGGAGAGTGAGACTTCGCCATGGAGTTGCATACGGACCTTGATGAGATCTAACGGGTGAGTTATTACGCCGGCGATGACGGCGGCGATACCTCCTTCAAGAAATGCTTTGAAGCCCATCTTCTTCTTTCCCTTAGTTTTCCAAGTTTTGGCCTTTTTCTTTGGGTTAACAATGGAGAAACAAGGGAGATGAGAAGTTGTAATTGAAGAAGGAGACGTGGAAGAAGACAAAAGAGGACACGGAAAAAAACAATGCAACGGAAGTCTTTTGTGTTTATGTAATAATGGTGTTTGGTCTACAAGAAAGTACTGTTTGATCTGATTGACTGAGATGATGAAAGATAAGAGTGTGATCACTCATTTCATGCCCCTCGAATTATTGAAAGCTCAAACCCTCGAATAATACCCGAGAATTCAACAGAATTTATTCGGAGAAATCCTTCATAGAAGTTGGTTCATCGAGTACAAGAAGCTTCATAGATGGCATGGAGCTCCGCTAAAATCTTCACTGCGCTTTCAGAACTTCGATTTCGAAGACGAGAACCGAGTTTGGCTGAATTCCCCATGCCGGAAATCCACCAGGTCCATACGCGTAGTCGGGCGAGCACTGCAAAAAACATATCCAGTTGGAAGCCGAGAATGTCGTGTCTAGAGATAATTGTGTTGTGAGAATATATGCTCTAACTCAGTAACATCTTCTACGGTGATTCTTGCAGATGCAACGAGAAATACCACAACAACAACATCGCCTCATTCCCAAAATGCAAGGAGAAATAAGCTTTAGATTTCATGATGCATAGATAAAAGCTTCTTTGGAAAGAGAGCAAAAAGATAAAAACTTTCTCATATGGCAATAATGCGATGTGAATCATCGGATAGAAGAAATTGAGAAATTGTTATCATACCCGTAGACGAGCCACCTCTCCAACTTGCATGCCCATGACACCTTCATCCCATCCTGCAAATAACGTAAACAAGGTTAAACCTTGTATCTTTCCCACAGGGGTAGAACCAAACATTGATGGATTCCTATGAGGCAAAAAATTTACCTTTGATAACAGCACCTTTGCCGATCTGGAACGAGAAGGGCTTCTGTCCAGGATCCTTTGTGCTGAAAAACCGAAACGCAGAAGCCATAAGCCCCGGAAGATTGGAAACAACAATACCCTAAAGAAAGCTAAACACATCTGTTCACATATGTGTGTGAGTGTGTACGGTAATTAACCTATCAAGAGAACCCCTTACCTCCAGAACTTCTGGGATAGATCGCCATTTTTCCCTGCAAGATTTAAGAGCGTTACAATTCGGAACGAAAGGCACAAAGGAACAGACGAAAATAGAGTTCAGGGCACCAACTCAAAAGACAACCAAGTATCTCTCTGTTTCTCCATTGAAACTATAAACAAATAGGAGGCTGATTCGTAGAATTTGGAGCAGGATCTGAACATATATCGAAAACTTATCATATAACTAACAAGATACCACATATATACGCTTGAAAGTAATAAGAATCAACCATCAAGAAGAAATCGATCCTGAAACTTCTCTCATCACCCAAAACAGAATAAATAAGGCCTTTATCAGAAAGCATCCGTCGTGGTTGCCGAGAAAAAAGCGGATTCTGGGCAATTTCTGAAAGAGAAAATGTCAATTGAAGCCATCACCATGCAACCAGACGCAAAAGCGTTCCCGTATATAACAAGTTAAGATCTCAGAATCTAAACCCTAATATATCAGTTTTCTTCCATTTCCCCAAGGAATTTCCCAGACAGCCAAACCATCCAGACGGCTACATCGTCAAGGAAAAAATCCAGTTCTCGTTGATCCATGTGCAGATCGATTCGCCGCATAATATTCAGAGAACGACACCCAGAGAGACAGAGAGAGAGGGGACGAAGGAGAAAACAGTAGAGACGGGGACGAAGATACCGAAGCCGGTGCAGTGGACGGTGACGGTCTGACCAGCGGCAGGTTTGGGTCCAGAGCCGGCTGTGATGACTTCCTTCTCCACACCCATCCTTCGTTACTCTCTCCTTCGAATCTTCGACAATGGCTGGCGTTTTTTTTTTTTTTTTTTTGGG